TTGAAGCTCCATCGCAAACATGAACCACTGGTTTCAGTTTCAAAACAAAGTCCTGCCTAATCCCTTCACAGGGAAAAGCATTCTATTGATTTTGGAAATTCTTTCTTCTAATTTCCCACACCCCCTCCGTTTCTAAGCTGAGTGAACAACATCAACGAAATTTGATTAGTTTTCTCCTTTCCCCCCAATAAGAACACAGGGAGAAGTCTGTTCACACCTTATGGGAATTCTTGAGATCGTCGTTTTGAAATCGATAGTCTGCACTTATCAGTTGTCAGTCGAAAAGTTGAGTTGCGCTTGCATGAAGATGAGAAACGGAGAGGGGAGAAGAGACAGTCAGAGCGAGAGATAGAGAAGAAGAAGAATAATTCGAAGCAAATAAGTTGTATTTATAACGTATAAACACAAAACATTTCATATATATATGTATATACTTCAAAGGAAAAAGGAATCAGAACAGAAGACAATATAATTAACTACGTAGCTGTGCTATGTGTTAAAGACTATATATATATGTATGACAGATATACATATGTATATATTATCACATAAATTATTACTATATGCCAAAGGGCGAACATTCGATAATTCTGCGACTATTTAAATAGAATTTGAAATCTCTGATAATCTATCTAATCTTTATAGTTAGCAATACTTCACAAAACCTGCTTTCAAAAAGAAAGATTATGTAATAACCGTGCTCTGCATGGAAATAAATTTTTTAAATGTAAGAGAGTAAGATAGATATACGAATCAATTAGAAAAATAACACAAAGTTCTGAAGAAAAAAAAAGAAAACAACAAATGTATGTATCACAATATTGCTCAAATAATACAAACACACCTGTAACTAAGTTCTTCGATCAGCAGCCGGTGGGGGTCTCTTTTTCTCTAAGTCATACTCATTCCTCAACCACATTACAGCCGTTAATAGAAAGATGCCATATTTGTCCATGGAGGTCTCCATGCAGTAATGGCCACAAACAGATTCCAGGCTTCAAAGAAAAGATGTTCAACTTGGAACAGACTAGGCTTCTCCTATTACCTATTCACGAAATTGATATCAGTTGTGTTTTTGGTGGTCATGGTTGCTGCATCTTCCCAGAACTTATGAGCGAACATAATGTACTGGAAAGTTTTGAATTGGGCTCTCAG